AGGAGCAGGTACTTATATAGAGCCAGTGAAACAGGTCACAAGCGAGAAGAAATCACTAGCATGCACTCTGGCGGCGCTTGTCGGAAGTGGCGCAACGTTGGTTGCCAAGCGCTGTGTCGATAATGTCAGGATATGCATGCGCGCCAGAAAACAGTTCCGACAAGCGCCGCCAGAGTGCATGCTAGTGATTTCTTCTCGCTTGTGACCTGTTTCACTGGCTCTATAAGTACCTGCTCCTCTCCCGCAAAGACATTCACAGTTATCCCTCCACTGTAAGATATAAAGTGAGGGAATTTATCAGTCTTTCACCTTTGTTTTACCAGAGGTGACAAATTAAATTAATATGTTCTATTAATTTAAAAAAATATATATTTTTGAAAAATATATTTTTTTAAAATAAATTTTAATTAATAATTAAAAAAAATAAATTTTCAAAACCTTGGTTTTTTGTTGGCTGCCAATAAAAAATCAAGCTTTTGAAAATCAATTTTGTTTCCTTGGCAATTCCTTGGCAACTAATATTGGCCCGATGCTTGGCTACCGATCATTGGCAGTAGCGTGATCATCCCAAGTTTAAACCATTGGTGGTCCAATGATGGTTGCCATTAATGTTCCAATAATGGAACGGAGTTCGCCAAGCATGGCCCATTATTGAACCAATCGTTTACTTCCCATTGGGCAATAGTCAAAACTGCAATGCTCTAACTATTTCCGTTCGAAAGATAATGAATTTTATCTGCTTTGACTGTTTAACATTTAGCCCCAGTCTCCCCTACTGAATTAAGAAAAATGTAAATCCAGAAAAGGTCAGAATATTTTCTGACCATTGATTTCCTCTCAAGAAATGACTATAAAAATAATTTTAATATTTTATGGATGATCTAAATCATTTTCTTGTTATAGTTAAAAATGTAGTCGAAGTATCCCCTTAAACTGCAGATTATATTAAGTTACACACCCAGAGAAAAAAGTTATTTATTTTAACTAAAAGTGTATATTTAAGAAAAATTTATTTGTTGCAAATAAATATTTTATTTAAAATAAATAAACTAATATTTATTTCAAATAAATGCACTAATTAATCTAAAATAAAGAAATATATTTGCAATTTATGAAATAGTATATTTGTAGCAAATAAAAAATATATTTGATTCAAATAAATGTTTGTTTGACTTATAAGTAGACGCCTGCGCATATTGCATTGCTATAGTAAAACAATAAGATGTTTTGCTTTTAACAGTTTAACGCGTACAATTATAAGAGGTTTATTCATCATGAATAGTTAACAAATTTAATTGATTTAAGTACAGAATTTTTCTTTTTAAGTGAAAATTTTAATTAGTACAAAGTAACAGATTTGTATGTGATTTCATTTACATTTTAGTGTCTTATTTGAGATTTTGTGAGAAAAATGTGACAGTGGACTTTTACATATGAAGTGAAAAAGTAAAGTAAAATGACTAACAATAAAAAAACCTGACTTTATTTAACAAATATTCTTATAAAAATAAACATTTATTTTAATGAATATTAAAAGTTCCATTAGTGATTGTGATTGTTAAATTTATTTGAAGGTTATAAGTGAATTTTAATATTTTAGAATGCTTACAGGATTTATTAAAATGAAAAGTGTTTTTTATTTGTTCTAAATATAAAATATATTTAAAGAAAATATAAAATTTTTTTCATTTAAATAAAAATGGATATTTAAACGAAATATATTAATTCAAATAAAAAATATTATTTGAGCTAAATAAAAGTTTAGTTGGTTCTGTGACAAATATCCTTTTTTATTTGTTTGAAATAAATTTTATTTAATTCAAATAAATCATTTCTCTAGGTGCAATCTGTACAATAAAACTTGAAAAGTGTTAATAAACAAATCAGGATCAAAATCTGACCATCCATTTCTCTCAGTGTACTGATTTTTATCTCAGATTCATAACATTTGAAATAATGATGGTTTCTAAGGAAAAATTCTGAAGTCTAATTCGTAATCAACGACCCTGAAAACCCCTGAGTAATAAATTTTAAGCAATTTTAATTAAGTTTTGATTTTCAAAATCTAAAGCAAAATTTGTTAATTAACTACCTCAAATACAATGGTATACTCGCTTGTGTAAATTTTAGTTTTTCGAAAAGTTTTGACATCTTGGGCCCTCTTCTGAGATTAAATTTTGACCTTCATGAAAAAAAGAATAGGATTTATTTTTGGTGAGTTTGTCAAATACATATTGAAGTGTAGAAAAAAAATTTTTATTTAAAATTTTATAACAAAATGGCGGCGATAAGGAAGTATTTTTAAGAAAAAAACGGAGTAATGTAATTAAATATAATGACGGTAAAAAAAAAATTAAAACATTTTAATATGTTCAAAAATTGTAATTATTGAAATTTATTATTGCTTAGACAATAATTAATGTACAAAATTGGAGAGGTGTTAAAAAAATAAGTATATATTTACATCTAGAGAAATGTTTATTTATATAAATATGTTTATATTTTATAAACCAAATATAATATTATTAATTATATGAATTCATATATCGGAATATAACATTTTTGTCTTAATTTTTTTCTCTTGGAAAGCTAATTTTAAAATAAAAATTGTAATTATAATACGAATTTTTAAAATTATTTTATTAAAAAGAATTTTTGTATAAAGATATTTACAATTGCAGAGACTTTTATTTAAAGAAACTTTTTATTACGTCAACTAATAAAAAAGATTTTTTTAATTTACTTTTCGTGAACAAAATATTATAAATGTTTTTTGAAGTATAAAATTTACTTGTAAAAAGAATATTTATTAAACATTTACGAATTCAATAAATTTTTAATTTTCTGTTGATACAGAATGATAAACTGGTTTGGTAGAGTTTGTGTATTAAAAAATATTTCTATTACTAAATAATATTTCTATTTCCTAAACATAGTTTACAAAATTTTTTTAATTGAATACTTTACGAAATTTTTTAAAAACCCCAGTAACACGTAATATTACAGCAATATTGAGAACAGTGCCTTAACATCACCAATATTGCCTCAATGTTGTTGCGATGTTACTGGAATACTGCTTGAATGTTCCCAACATTACGTGCTCCTGGGGAAGAATTTTATACAGAACAACAAACAATTCAACTAATCTAATAATATTTTCAATTTCTAAATTTTAATAATTTTTTAATTATATTTTTATATTTTATATTTTTAATAATATTATTTTTGTTCCGTCCAATGCGTCACTGAGTCTTTTTGGAAGACAATCTTGAAGACTAATCGTGATATGTATATCATATAACATATATAATATATAAATATAATAATAATAATATATTAATATATTATATTATCATTAATATTTTTTGACTCATTGTTTTAAGATTTTTAAGGTTAATTGTATTAATCAATGTATAGAATGAAGCCACAATATCTTAAATTATTTTTAAAATTGATAAATTTTTTGATGTAGTACAGGTAATTTTATGCGAGAATTTTATTCTTTTAATAAATTTTAAATTAATAAATATTTTTAAAATTAAATAAGGTTTCTAAATTTTGTATTTTTAAATTACACAAATTTCTAAAGATTTGTTGTTAACAATATTATTTATTAATACCTTACATTTTAAAAAATAAATTATTTGTGACCGCGTCTGAGAAAAGAGGGCTTATGAAGGAAAAATCAAATTTTGGGGTTGCAATACGATTATTTTTTAGAGAAAAATATGGTCAGAAGCCTCTTTTTCTCAGACGAAATCTCAAATATTACATATTGATACATTACCATTTTTTTTAATTAATAAAAAAAATAGAACGGAAAACAATACATCACAAGAAAGTTTCTTGTTGCACCCACTAATGCAATGTTTAACAATTTTAATAGTAAAATTGAAATCCACATTAATATATGGAATCTAAAATTGAAGATGATGTTGACGAAGACAATTTTAAGCTTCCTCAAATTGTTTATAATAATTTTATGTCAATCGAGGAAGTAAAGACACTTAAAAACGGATCCTCTGTTGTTAAGAAATATAATTATTTTACTTATTTATATTAATTTTTTTACCAAACACGATATACTCCCAGTATTCAAATTATTTAAAAATTAATAGACATATTTGGAAAAATAAATGTCATAAATAATGTGGAGGAAATTCATACAAAATCTGGATCATCGTTCCTAAAACGAAATGTCAGCATCGGAGACAACGAAGGAAATATGGCATGATTAATAATAATAAGAATAATAAAGTTAATATCGATTATTCCGTGTCAAGTATATAAATATATAACAATTTCATATTTTTTTAATTTTTAACGTCACAAAAATTGATTATAATAGTCTGCAACGCTTTAATCCATGAAGGATTAAAATAATTCATCAAAGAATTATTTTTTAAAAATAATTTAGATACATTTAAACGTAAAAAAAATATAAAATTGTAATATTTTTCTTCAGCTGGCTAGTAGTAATATTACATAGTAATTTACTAATACATTCTTAATTATTATTGTAGCATATAGCAATCTTTCGTGGCAAGATTGCAGGAACCTTTCACAGCAAGATTACAACAACCTTTCGCTGAAAGCTTGCTATACAGTGGACATTTTGCTATCTCAAACAAGCTTGCGGTAATCTTGCGCTGTAAGCTTGGCTGGATTGCAAAAAAAACTTGAATATCAAAATAAAATAAAAATTAACCGATTAAACGAACTTACCTTAAGTGAAGTTCGATCGGAATTATATGAGTCGTCTCGTTCTCCTAGAATAATACGTAGTCCCATCTTTCTGTTAGATCTGATCACAGAATTTTAAAGAATAAATAAAATTCAAACTTCACCTTCCACGTTTGCGGTTGCCAAGGAGATGTATGGTAAACAATCATTTATTTTAAAGAAATTTAATCACAAATTACTCAAGGGGTTTATTTTAATAAATAGAATGAGGATATGGGTGGGAAACTTCTAGGAGAACGAGACGACTCATATAATTCCGTTCGAACTTCACTTAAGGTAAGTTCGTTTAATCGGTTAATTATATTACGTCGTCTCGTTCTCCTAGATTAATACGTAGATGTTCAAAGCAATATAATTTGTGATTCTTTTTAACTTTTTATTGAAGTACAAACATTGCAACTTTTATTAAACTATTAATTCTTAAACAGTAACATTTATTACACTTTTCGCATACCTCGACCTATCTATGAAAGGTATGAGTTGTCGCTGGTCTAATTGGTTTTTTAATTGTAATAAACAATCTATTAATTGATTTTCTTAAGCTGGCAGTTTTGTTTAAATATAACTGCAAAATAGTAGCTACGCATAGTTTGGGTTCTGTTCTAAAAAATGGCAATGATAAACAAGGTTGAGGTTTGTTAACTTTCGAAGTCTTAATACGTTCTGGTATTTTAATTTGAATGAGATCAGTTGACACAATAATGTTTTCTAAGGAAATTTTAGACATTGTTTGCATACGTTGAGATGTAATTAAAGCCATTAACATTAATAATTTAAAAGATAATTGTTTCAGAGAAAGATTTTAGTGAGGATACCAAGATTTCAAAAAATCAATAACAATTTGTGGATCCCACGTAAAATCGTATCTGGGTTTCTGTGGCTTAATTACCGAAACACCCTTAAAAAACCTTTTCATTAAAGGATCCTGTCCAATGTCTGTTAATAAAATTAAAGAAATGGCTGATCTATACGAGTTCATAGTACTGTAACTTTTAACTTGTTCATAAATATCGACTAAAAAGGTAAGAACGTCTTTAGAATTTGCTTCAAACACGGAAATATTATTTTTCTGACAAAATGTCCACCATAACCGAAGAGGCTTATTATATTGTTTAATAGTGGCTTCAGACAAGGAAGAAATCATTATTGGTATTCCTGCTTCCGGGATGCCTCTCCTTTGAAAAGCTTGCCAGATAACTTGCCTGCCACCAGGATAAGGCTCTTGGCTAGAGGGTGTGTTTTCCTGAAAGGACAATGCAATAAATCGATATGAGGACCTAAAAATAATGGTTTTTCGATTAATAAGTCTAAAAACAAAGGGTACCAGACTTGAGTGGGCCAATATGGTACTAATAAAAGACCCTCAGCCTGATCATCAATTATTTTTCTAATGACTCGCAAAATTAAGGCAAATGGTGGAAATGCGTAAAAATTTAATCCTTCCCATGAAATTGTGAATGCATCAACTTTTACTGATTCTGGATCTTTGAACCAAGAGACAAAATTTGAACATTTACTATTATTATGTGTTGCAAATAAATCGATTTGAAATTTTCCAAATTTTTTCTCTATTTTCTTAAATTCTTCAATATTTAATTCCCACTCCGTTTCTGTAGGTAAAATTCGAGACTCTCTATCAGCGACAAAATTATCTTTAGTATAAATATATGATGCAAAGATCCATATATTTCTTTTTTCACACCATTGCCAAATAGATTTTGCAATATCATTGAGATTTTTAAATTGAATTCCGCCCATGCGGTTGATATGTAAGATATGGCTGTTGTGTTATCAATTCTCAGTAAAATTTGACAGGAACTGTAATCTGAAGCAAAAATTTTAAGACCCTAAAAAGCAGCTTTAAGTTCTAAAAAATTTATGCTTTGTTTCTGATCGAATGGATTCCACCAACCATGAGTTTTTTGGTTGCCAGAAAATACTCCCCAACCTGTTAACGAAGCATCAGAAAATATTTCTAAACAATATTTAGAGTTTCTGATGTGATTGATCGAAGAAGGAATACTTTTAATCCACCATTTCAATTCTAGTTTGGTGTCTTCAGATAAAGTCATTTGCTGATCAAAATTTCCATTCGATCGTTTTAATGCTAGAAACTTTTGCCTTTCCATTTCTTTTCTATACAACCAGCCATATTTTACACCAGGACAAGCTGAAACTAAAACACCTATGCACTGAGCAAAATTTCTTATTTTACATTCAGTTTTTAAACAGAATTCTTGAATCATTTTTGAAATTTTTTCTTTCTTTTTGAAAGGAAGTTCAACTGTTAAGTTGTTACTTTTCCAAAGAAAGCCAAGATATTCACACTCATGTGAAGGTTCCAAGAAAGATTTTTGCCAATTAATAACAAAACCGAGACTTTCTAAAATTTGAATTGTTTCTGAAATATTTGAAATACATTCTTGTTTACTTTTTGAAATTAAGAGAAAATCGTCTAGATATAAAACTGACAAAAAACCTTCATTTCGTAAAAAATGAAGAATAGGTTTTGTTGTTTTTGTAAACAAAAAAGGTGCTGTGCAAAGGCCAAATGGTAAACAATTAAATTCAAATAATTCTCCATCAAACTCAAAACGCAAAAATTTTCTATGTTCTTTTGTAATTGATACATGAAAATAACCATCTTTAAGATCTATTTTTGCTAAGAAACAAAATTTTGTTAACAACCTCATAACAATTTTTTGGTCTTCTAATTTAAAATGTGGTGCATTTATAAATACGTTTAATTTTTTCAAATTTAAAATAAACCGCTTTTGACCATTAGATTTATCGACTAAAAAAAATGAGGAGATGAATTGACCTTTACAAGGGTAACATCGTGAAATTGCACCTTTATCTAACAATTCTTTGACAGCAATTTTACAAAATTTGTATTCAGAATCTGATGTAAATTTAATAACTGGTTTTTCTTGTTGAAAAGGTTTTTCCAAAAAAGGTATTTTATAACCTTGAATATATTCGAGAATATTCTCGTCATCTGTTATTTCTCTCCATTTGTCAATAAAAAATTGTAATCTACCGGGTATTTTACTTACAACTAGTGTCGAGTTCTCGCCTTCTGATCCTGGCGACTCCTGTTGTTCCTGCGCATTGCTCCGGACGGGCTTTTGAAGTTTAAATGTTTTTTAACATGTGGAAATTGTCCTGAATATCTGCTGGCATTCGAAGAAGTTTGTGGCCTTGTAAAATATTTGTCCCCTGTATTTCTATGATTAGAGAAGCTCTTGTTAAGTTGAAGCGGTTTGACAATCGCTTTGCTATCTTTTTCCAGTTCTTTCGCAGCTTTCAATAGATCGGGGAGTTTTTCACCAAAAAGGAGAGATTCAATTGGTTGATCAGTGATGACATCTTCCACTAGTCTGTTCACATTTGGGGTTATAAAAGCTCTTCTTGTGATCGAAATATTATAATGGACGTCTGATAAAAGTCTGGCTGCATCACTTAAATACGAAACGAGTGATGGATTCATAACTCTTCCTTCATTGAAAATTGTCGTTAAAGCAAGGCCAATGGCGTAAATGGCAGATCCAATTTTCGTTTGTGTTTTACCTGGTAATCATCTTTTTTACGAGATCTTTCAGACATTGTCCGTTTCACTTCTGGATTGAGCACAGGCGATTTTATAGCAGCGAAATCATCAGGCATAGGATATTTTTTCATTATTTCGTCAGTTGTTTCTTTGATCATGCCAGATTTCAAAATTTGAGACCAGTTTGTTGTTAATAAATTGTGAACCTTTCCATTGGGATCATTATTTGTTTTTATATCTTCTCCAAGCAAGGTTAGGACTGCGTTACTCAAAAGGACATCACCTGGATTATCAAAGTTCTCGTACGAAGAATCACTCTCATAAGAATCATTATTGCTAAGTGCAATATTTGGTTTAACTTTAGGAAGATTTGATTCCGTCGAGCCTCTCGGGCGGCGATCGGAGAAGGAAACATGCTTGGACGAGCCTCTCGGACTACGTTCACGATCTTTTTGTTTAGTACGATCTTCGCTCGAAGATCGACTGTCACTAGAACTTTGATATACAATTTTTCGACTCTTAGACAATATAGGAGAACTGTGGGTAGAAGTAGACAATTCACTGGATGGAGATCGGCTATTACGGCGAAGACGTTTTGATTTATCTTTTTTAGATAAAGATTCGTCTGGGGAACGTTTTCTTCTTTGAGTCCTGCGAGAATTTTCTTTTTCACTCATGATGAGTCACAAAAATACTAATTTATATTATTTAAAACTCATAAAAGAAAAAACGAACGAAAAAATTTACGTCGTTCTCAGATCGCACAGAAAAAAGGAATGATTGTTTACCATACATCTCCTTGGCAACCGCAAACGTGGAAGGTGAAGTTTGAATTTTATTTATTCTTTAAAATTCTGTGATCAGATCTAACAGAAAGATGGGACTACGTATTATTCTAGGAGAACGAGACGACGTAATATAATTTGAAGCATTTTAGGCGTATTTTAATAAATTTAAAAATTCTTTATTTTTATAAATATTTTTATTGCAGTTAAATGGAATTGTCGACTTTTTACAGATTTAACAAACAATGACAATTGTTATGTTAAAATATACGCGACACTATTCTTTCTTCTATGAATATCCAAGTCTATTTTGTATCATTTTCAAGGCTAGCCCTAATGTCCAACTTAATTGGTGATCAGAGATTGAGACATGAATCTGAAATTATAAAATTTACATTTGATTATAAATTCTATGTTAATTGATTATTTATTACTTTATTTACAGTTAATTTTTGTCGTAATTTTTTTTAAAAATGAAAAAATAAAACATGTATACGATTTTTAATCAGCATTTTAAAGAAACCTATGAAACTTACGTTAAGTTTGGTTTCCGGCTTGAGACCAAATCCAGTTGTCAACAAGGAGTACATATAAATTAAATCCAAGCATCTGTATGGATAATCCTTAGTCATGTTTTTACAAATATTTAAAGCTGCTTCACGAATATTTGCAACCGTGATTATTCCACCATTTCCTGGGTCTATTAATCCTATCTGCAAAATCATTCTTTTATGTTCTTACAATAATAGGATGCCTAATTGTAAGTATAAAAAAATCAAGTGATTACAATAAATAAATTATTAAAATAAAATAATCTTACGTCAAAGGTTCTGTAATAAAAGTACGAAAAAGCATAAATGTCTTGTTTATTCAATCCCGCTGGTTTATTTTCAATTTTACTCGTGAATTTCTCAACTAAATTTAAGCAATCTTGAAAATTGATAATTGAACCTTTGTTCTCTTCGTTTTTGGTAGTATTTTGGTTAATTTCCGAAGAATTTTCTCTTGGCCCCATTATTTGATATTCTTTGTCATCAAACGTCCACGTCGTGTTAGTTGATGGGGAAATGCATTTCGAATGTACCTCGATAACTCCATATTCATTTGTTATGGCAAGTGGTGGTATCAAAATTGCCTTTCTCGCAGCCATAAGTCCGTAACCTAAATAACTTTGAGTGAAAATAGTCATATTTTGATTAAATGCTTGCAGATTAGTAATAACGGAGTGATTTAAGTCATTCCTATCTTCCTCGTCAAGACGATAGGTCACTTGTGTTGATCCTCCGCCAAGATCAATTGCCGCAACTGTACTTTGCGTACTGTTTTTTTTAAATCGGCCCAGAAGAAAATTAACAGTGAACCATGAGAAAATACCTTCGTCAGAGCCTTCCATTAGTGAAACGGATTCATCGTTCAATTGAAAACCAGAAGAATTAAGAAACTCTCTGGTCACCTCTAAAATATGTTCTGCCTTGTCTCTGGGAAGAGATCGAAGACCTGCCGTTGCTTTCAAATAAATTGGAGTGTCTATCCATTCAGATTGTGGAATAGTGGGTTTTGTTTTATTAAGAAGTATTTCTAGAATTTTCATCCCCTCATCTGGATTATTAGCGAATGAACTCAAACCTGGTCTTTTGTGATTATACGCTTCCTTGTCCAAAATTAAACTACCATCTTCACTCGAAGTATGAAAGTGAAAAGCAAAAAATCGTGTTCCAGTGGATCCGGCGTCAACAATTACGACATAAAAGGGTTTCTCTGAATCCTTCGATAATCCTGCGCTGCCAATGGCCTCACTGCCGAGATCAGGAGAATCTAAACCATTTGCTTTAGCCACGTAACCAAATAAAATTCCCAGCAATATAAACGTGAAATATCGTCTCATAATAGTTTTTGACATTTTTCTCTGGATTAATGATGAATTAAAATTCGGCATATTGTCATAATCGTCTAATTCCAACTGTAAACATTTATAAAAAAAATTTATATTTGTGTCCCATGGACGAAAACATACTAAATCTACTTCTATTTGAGTATCACTGGGTATTATTAGGTTTTTGAACTCTCTGATTCGGAATATGTCAGATTTGAAAAATTCAAAATGACGGACTCAATCTGGATACAAAAATTAAAAAATTTTTTTTAATTCTACAATATAATGTTAAATATTTGATTAAATATACATAATATGCTATCAATAATATAGATCCTTATGAGTAAAATGAGACATTAAAATTTTGTTTAATGATTCATAAGTTATTGACTTTTAATACACAAAAAAGTTTCTTAATTAACAATTAGATTATTGCAAAGCTATTAATCCGATGGAGTCGGAATTTTGTATACTTACTAAGGATTTCAAGAGCATTTCTACCTCTCATTTTTTTTAGCTCTTTTCAAAGCTTTTCAACTTTTAATACTAACTTTTTAGTACAAAATTTTATTGGAAGCAACAATCCTCAAAAAACACGAATTTTGTTTTTGTCGTCTTAAAAGTTTTATAACAAATATGCGCTTGGTCTAAGTTGGTGCAAACTGTTCGGTATTATTTTTAGACCACTTTAATTTATCAAATGGCGCTATTTCCATTTGGATAGGATTTATGTCACCTACTTTCGGCAGGGCAACAATGTAACTGTCTGTTACATATAATTATACACACAAGCAGATTTGTGGCTAAATAAACATACAGATTTGTCTATAAATTGTTACTCGAGGATTTCAGGATCGCTGATTACGAATATAATCAAAATTAAAAATGGCGGTTCCAATATGGCGGATAATTTCAAGATTGATGCGATTTGATCGAAATTCATTTCTCGAGGGTTTTTTGGAGGTCACTGAATTCAAATTTGTTGTCTGTTTTTTAAAATTCAAAATGGTGGATCCAATATGTCGACCAAATTTTTTTAATTTTACGGGATTTACATCAGATTTGTAATCATGGACTCCGAAAACCTTATATATGATGAAATCACATTTTTTTGGAAACTTTTTTTTTTGACCGTTTTAGGCTCACAAGCGATTTATAAGTGGACTATGAAAGTTATAAAAAATTAACATTAATAATATTTATTAAAATATAAATTAATTACAAATTTATAGAAACTTATAAACCTATTTTTAAAAATAGGTGTAATAGGTACAAAATTACAAATAAAGGAAAAGATGTCAGTCTGTGATCCCTGGAATAATTATTTTTCGCCATAGACATGTCTTTTGGTGTCTTTTTGGCACCTATTTTGGTCAAATAAAGTAGCATTTTTTCAAGCAGTTCACTGAGAGTAAAATTAATATTGAGATTGAAATTGAGAGATTGAAACTAGAATTAAAGGATTGAATGATTGAAAGATTGCATGATTGAAAGATTGAATGATTAAAAGATTGAATAATTGACAGATTGAGATTGAAAGATTGGAAAATTAAAAGATTAAATGATTGAAAGATTGAATAATTGAAAGATTGAATGATTGAAATTGAGATATTGAGATTGGGATTGAATGAATTAAAGATTGAATAATTGAAAGATTGAAAGATTGAATGATTGAAATTGAGATTGGGATTAAATGAATGAAAGATTGAATAATTGAAAGATTAAAAGATTTAATTATTTGAAAGATTGCATGATTAAAAGATTGAATGATTTAAAGATTGAATAATTGACAGATTGAGATTGAAAGATTGAAAAATTGAAAGATTGAATGATTGACGTTGAGATTGAGATTGGGATTGAATGTTTGAAAGATTGAATAATTGAAAGATTGAGTTTGAAAGATTTAATTATTTGAAAGATTGAATGATTTAAAGATTGAATAATTGACAGATTGAGATTGAATAATTGAAAGATTGAATGATTGAAAGATTGACGTTGAGATTGAGAGATTAAGATTGGGATTGAATGTTTGAATAATTGAAAGATTAAGTTTGAAAGATTAAGTTTGAAAGATTGCATGATTGAATGATTTAAAGATTGAATAATTGAAAGATTGGATTATTGAAAAATTGAAAAATTAAAAGATTGAATGATTGAAAGATTGAATAATTGAAACATTGAATGATTGAAAGATTGGATTATTGAAAAATTGAAATATTGAATAATGGAAAGATTGAAAGATTGGATTATTGAAAGATTGAATAATTGAAAGATTGAATGATTGAAA